GGGAGTCAACTACCAACAACACAACAATACTCCTCTATCTAAGCCTTATCCAAGAATGTACCAGAAATGAGAACATAAGCTACGGCCACGAATAAAAACATAGCCACACTAATCACACAACCCCACCTGGCGCAGATAACAGACTCCATGCTCATTATAGAAACATAAAACAAACGCTAGCTCTTAGGAAAGATTAGCATAGTCTCACCTCTAACCAGTATATCACGACATACTGTATGAACAAACATAGATAACCTTTATCCATAGTAACCCGATAACAAGAAAGGTCTCACCAGAACCGGAAACAAGTGTACACATACACTTCAATCAAAAACTGCTGTTAGAATTAGATGCCTAAGAAATCAGAAACAGAGATTCTCACTTACAGGAGCAAATCGAATAACAATTGATTTATACATTAGAATCTCTGACAGAATATTGAAGATGTGAGGGCAAGCATATATAAAAAGTGTATTAGTCATATGATAGAAAAGCTGTTTAATACTTCACACCAAACTGACGTAACAAAGGAAACACAATAAGCCAAACATTAACTTCGCTATCATAAAAATTTAAAAGCTCCCCCTTCTCCGGTAATTTCTTCCTTTTTTAAACTTATTATATCTGATTTGCATGCTGAATTGTTACTCTTATATCTCCCCAGATAATAGTAATACATTAAAACCATACAAAATAAGAGAGACGCGATAGTTTTATCCCATCACCAGCAATCACCTTACGGCCGGATAGGTGCGTTGCCCTAAGTACGTTCTCGTGTTTTCCAGAACATGACCTGCGTGCCTCCAGTCTAATGCCACTCCAATGGACAATACGACCTACCTGGAACGCGCCAATGTCCCCAACCCTCTTTCAGACCTTTCCCGCAGTCCAAACGAAATACAAACAGAAGATCAACGTTATCAACGAGCAAGCGACTGGCAGCAATAGCCACGCGAACCATATGAGGAAAATTAAATGAATATCGCCATGATGTCCACGAACAGCTGAAGCAAAGCCAAAGTTTGACGCGGAAGTCATCACCAAGAGTCAGAAGACAGGAGATCAAATTCAAAAATTAGAATAATAGATATAGGAAATATCCTAGAATACCTAGTATAACAGACACAAGTTACATTAATATATTATACTATAATAAAACAATAACCAACATGATACGTGTCATAAAGCAATCGGCTAAGTGAGACTGAAAGCAGGCAGTCCTTCTTTGTACATCAAGCCCAAGTGCCACATTGACCGATTACACAATAGATCAACAATATGCGAACCGCGAGCATCCGACCCTCACTATCAATATCATTAGCAGACGCATATTACCGGTCATTACCCCTAAGTAGGTTCCTCAACATTATGAAGATGCGGACCAGAAGAGAGAGAAAGATATCTTAGCGGGTCCTACAATGCACCAGAGTGGGATGTCTCAGGAGGACAAAAACAAGACACATAGAAAAACATCAGCCCATTTGCAGCTCCCAGAAGACAAGAAAGTAAAACAATTAAAGGCCACCAAATATGAATATGTTAAGAAAAACTAACAAAAGATGAGTAGAAAAGATAAAAAGGGACAACAGAAAGCCTCTGTGTGACATGATGTTGACCAAGTGATAAGATTGTCAAAAATAAACGTCTACTTTCAACCAAGGCCCAAATTTAGATTCATTCCCATCTCCTGAAAAGACAGTCTAGCGACGAAAAACGTTGAAAGAGATACCGGAAAGTCCATTGCACGATCATTTCAAAATATACGTATAGTACAAATATAGAAAACATGCCCAGACTATTCAAAAATTCCTTTATATAGTATACACCAACATAGGTTAAGAGCAAAAATTACATCGATACAACTAAACTTAAATGCATAACCATATAATAAAAAGTCTGCATCCAAAAATACTTATTACTACTAATACATACGTTTCGGGGTTCCATCATAAAGTCATATAACCAAATATTTAGTACTTTTTGTAATTGACACCTACCTGCCATTTTAGCTTATAAACTATTCACCTATTATCATATTTGAATTTTAAATATATTGACAACATATGTATATCATTATATATACCTTTTAAAATAATTAGAAATAATAAATATGATTATTGTTCATAATAAATCAGCTTTATATTTATAACAGAATAAAAATTAGTTCTTATTTCACATAATTACGTATATAATTCATCCTAAAATTAATTGTAGATGGGGAAATTATGTACCTATCACCCATAAAGTGGGGAAGTGTAAAAGATAAAAAAAAAAAAATGAGTCTCTAGAAAGCTCAGTGCTGAGGAACAAAAGAGCACAGGACCAACTAGCAGGGCAGCGTGTAATGGGGCGTTTTCTATCACCAGGCACCACTGGGATTGCGACTGCGCCAGCTGCACGGCAACGCCTCTCCACACATTCAGCCCCGAGGAGACACTAACAGTGCGCATAAGGAGGGTTTTGGCCGAAACCAACCAGCTCATACTACAGTTAGAACGCGCACGAACCCAGCAAGCTACAGCTGAGCGACAATACTACCATCAATAGCGACAAACAACAATACACCTACGCCGTCTCAAGCAAGAGATCAAACCCGGTTAGGAACAAGCCTCACATCACGCAGATAGTCAGCCCTCTGGGTTTCGCGCCCGCATAAAACTCTACCGAGTAGACCCGACTGCTCTCATGACTCCGCGAATCCCTCTACCCAAGCACAAAGGCACCATGTTCAGCCCAACCCTCATCCGCTCGTACCGTTCCACGACTTGTCCCTCCGGCGGTAATATCCAGACTGGCCCTACCACATCAACTCCACGTACGTAAATTACCCCAGCTTGTCAGAGACACTTCGGTGGGACAAAACCCAACGATCATAGCTCGAGCGACCACTCGCGCACAAAAATAACATCCCGGTACGACCTTTCACGTGGGACCCAAGCCTCCACCGAGTAGGAGAAACGTACCCCATATAGAGCTCAACATAATGATGATATTGGCAGATCACCTGGTCACCCTCGCCTCTAAGGGTAAACCAGCTGAAGCCGACGGCAAGGGGACTGTTACCTGATAGTATACCCGCATCGCAGAAGATGAGATGACCAATTATATATAATTTGGGAAGGTTTTATATTGGTTTGTTTAACAATAATGCTCCAGGTTACCGATGAGGGAGAACTCAACAATAGAGGTTTTTTTCATCTTGTTTTAGCCTATAAAGCACACAAATGTCAGTTAACATCATACAAACTCAGTAAAAAATCCACTCTAGAATATATGGAACGAATCCCCTTTTAAAGGATCATAACGACGGACAAGCCCCCATTTATGTTACACCCAAGCCCGAATGGAAAGAAAGGGAAGCCAACATAAACAGAAGGTTTTGGTAAATACCCAGTTATTATTAGTACAGAGAGTTTACAAAAATACAATTTTCACCAACAGAAATGTTTGCTGCGAAACAAATTAAAAAAAAAAAAAAAAAAAAACATTAACAAAAGCAACTACAAATCGTTCACTTACTAAACCTACCTATTTATCTTTTTTATCTAAGCATTTTATTCTATTGTTGTATTTTATTTTATTGTATTTTAATGTACCTGGCTGCTATGACGACCCTATCTATCTATCTATCTATCTATCTATCTATCTATCTATCTATCTATCTAAAAGGAGATCTCTAAAAATGAGATTACTGACTAACAGCTAAAACAAAAGCATGAAACAAAAACCCTCTCTGGTTACTTCAAACCAAACACAGAGATAGTATATAAGTTCACCTGGATGCGGGTCTCACCTGGTACCTGCCGGTCATCAGCTGGTTCCTGGACGGGGTGCACAGAGGCTGCACATAGTAGTTCTCCAGGCGGACTCCTCCGGCGGACAGCTGGTCCAGGTGAGGAGTCCGGATCTCGGAGCGGTGGTAGCCGATGTCAAACCAACCGAAGTCGTCTGCCAGGATGAAGACTACGTGAGGCTGCCGAGCCAATAAACCCGCCGGGAAACGGACGAGCAGCACGGCTACGAGCAGCGAACACACCGACATGGTTTGTTAGTGGAAGAGAGTAAACGAGGAAGTCCGTCAGGTGGAGTTTAACGGCGGAAACAGAGGAGCTGACATTGCGGATGTGAGGCTCAGCTACCCGGTTCTCTCTGACTGCGTGTCTTCATTGTAATAATGTCAAAACAAACATCACTTAAGTTATTGTTAGAAGTTAAATCCGCCTCTAGCTGTTACTTCCGGGAGCTGAAAATTGAAAACGTTGCCTCAGCTGCAGCAGCCAATCAGATCACTGGGAAAACAGCCAATCACGTGAATGTTTTTTTTTATTTATTTATTTTTTTTGTACATAACAATAACTCATAAAAATATAATATAATATAATATATAAGATAAAATAATATAAAATAAAATAAAATAAAATAAAATAAAATAAAATAAAAATAATATTTAAAAAGGAAATCTATATAAAAAATATTTTAAAAAATTCAAATGAATAACTAGGAATAGATAAAGTAATAAGCAAAAAATGGGCAAGAACTTAAAATAAATATATAACAACAACAAACGAGTTATATAAATTTAAATAAATATGATAAATGCCAAAAGTTGGAGTGTCATTCAACTTAAGTGATATACAATTTAAAAAAAAAAATCGTTTTCATCTTTATTTCTTTATCTAACCAACCAACCAATTCAAAGTTAAACCTTTTCTAAATCCCAGAATAATACATATAAGTACAATAAATAAACTTTGCTTTCACATCTGCTGCTTCTTTTATGTCACTTTAAATTGATCATTCAGTCTCTGGGAAGCTGCAATGGGCAGTTTTCACTATTTCATGACATTTATAGACAATAACAATATTTTTAACCAATTTAAATGAAGAAAAAAATAAACAGATTAGTCAATGATAAAATATGAGTCAGTTGCATCCCTAATTTTGAATATTTAACTATAACTTATGCCAATATATTAGTTTTACTACATTGTTATTGTTCTTTTATGCATATATTAAATAGTATATCATCATATTTTCTTTGATTTCTATAATATGACCTTCAGAAAAAGGTATTGTATAGTGTATGTATACTTTATATAGTATACAAGCCAGGTATTAGATATTTTATTCAATTTAAATGTGAGAACTTGGCTCCATGGATTTTATCATCAAAACGAGGAAGACTGGAAGCGAAAGAGAAAGACACAGACACCTAATACAAGACAGTAAGTGCATTGCTTTAATTATCACGGTATTAATGTACACCAATTTAATTACATATAAGTTATAAAAAAAAAGAAAAGAAAAAGAACAGATTTATAAAACTCTTTGTACAAGTTTGTTTTGGTTATTAGTGTTTATACACTTTGTTACGTCCGTCACAAAGTGCTCTTATGACATTTTACATTTGACCCTTTCTGCCGAAATCTTCGCCCCCAAACTGCTCAACTGTTGACCCGTAAACATTAACATCCATTCATGGAATTACAAAAAAGTCAATTAGTCTTCCGACACTGTAAGACGTTGTGGTGTAAGAACAGCGACAGGTAACTTCCCCTGTTGCTCAAAAAAACACATTCATAAGAAGCACTAAACACTTTCACATGCTGAATCTGTTTCCTCTTCTTAAAGACACAATACAGAAAGAGGAAGTTGTCAAGTGATGTTACTCTTTTTCCTTAAATCAGTACAAAAACCACATGTTCTTTCCCTCCCAATATAAGACTCGTGTATCACAGTAAAATCGTTCTTCATTAGCTGTTGAGAAGCTGATCGCGGACAGTCTGTTCTTATGCTTTGCCCTTTGCTTTCTTCTGCAGCCGGGTCCGTGTGGGCTCGGTGAGGACTAAAGGCTCCTGGATGACCTCGGCGGGGTATTTCCTCCCGAGCAGTTCAACCTCCACCTTCTGGCCCACAGAGCACAGCTCCAGAGGCAGGTAGGCGAACGCGAGGCTCTGCTGGCTGCTGTAGCTGTAGGCTCCGGATGTCGTGTTGCCGACCACCTGAAGAGAAACACAGGTTGAGTGAAACCAACCACAAAAATAACCAAATATAACTGGATCACTGGGTTTAACGTCAGGGTGCTGCTAACCTTTCCGTTGTGCCAGACGGTCTCGTTGCCTTCGGGGTCGATATCGTCCGTATCCAGGGTGATGTAGGAAAGCTTCCTCTTTAGGCCTTTGGCTTTGATCTCCTGAAGGGCGGCTTTACCGATAAAGTCCGCCGGCTGGACGAACAAACAGAAGAAAACTTGTTCAAGAGGGAATAAATAATAAAAACCTGGATATAAATAGTTAATTTATGTTCAAAATAATTGTTACTTTGTTGAGTTTGATGAAATAATCCAGTCCAGCCTCCAGAGGGTTGGTGTCACAGTTCATCTGTGAAGATCGACAAGTTGATCTCGTCAGTCAAAAGTCACAGGAACAGTTCAACATTATTTCCTTTGTTGCCAAGTTGCCAAAGGAGGAAACAGCTACTACCGCTCCACACTGTATTTCAGAGGCTGTAGTGGGCTCTGGTTTGAAGCTAGAGTGAACATAATGATATTGTATAAAACTAGATGACCTAACTAACTAAATAACGCTCCAAAATTGAACTAAATGAAAATGAAAAACCTGTGAAAATGGGTTCGATGTGTACCAACAAGTCTCCCCTTAACAGACACTTTATGCTAATCTCATGCAGTTTTTTTTGCATGTGGTATAAATGTGTTATTTTCGCTTAGTGTACTTGAATATTTCTGCATGCAGGGGTCCATAAACAGTGTTGCAATTGAATAAATTGGGAATGACTGGAAAGCTGAGACACATACTTCAAGGCCCCCCCTACATAAGTTAGTGCCCCACTAGTGCCACCCCAGTTTAAAAAGTCTGGAAAGGTGCCTGCCTGGCTCTGTCCAAAAGGAAACAAAATCTGCCTACTAGCACCATAAAAGCTGATTAATTAAGATGTAATATCTAATTTGTTTAATTTGAAACAAAAACAGACATGTAAGAAGGACATGGTTTATGGATTAAACGAAAGAAATATTGATGAACAAAATGCACAGATTGGGATGAGAGATGGCAAGGCAAGCTGTTTCCACCTGCTTCCAGTCTTCACGCTACGCAAACCTGACCTCTGCTGGCTATAGCCTTATATCTGACAGAAATGACGGTGGTATCTCATCTAACTCTCTACAAGAAAGTAAATAAGGGTATTTCCGTCTGTGTGTGTACCTCAGCTCCCCAGCCTCTGAAGCCCTTCTCCAGTCTGAGCGAGGACATCGCGTAGGTGCCGAAATTGTCGATGCCTTCGTCTTTTCCAGCTTCCATCATGGCCTTGTACACAGCCGCCATGTTCTTCTGGTCGATGTACAACTCCCAGCCGAGCTCACCTAAACACACGTGCACGTAGAGTATCACCACACAGTTTGTTCAGATTTCTGACACATTTCTTTCTAGATTTCAGAAATTAGATGATTTCACTTTACGTGAATTTGCCTCCAGCTCAACGAAACAAGACCAATGAAACTGTATCATTGTTGCTATACTATGTGTGCATGAGGGAAGCACCAATTGGGAAAGTCTGTGCCGAAGTTTAAAGCAACAACTTGTCCGATAGATGTTTTTTTGTTGTTATGTATTCTCCTATTTGTGGCAGAGAAACAAAGAAAGCTACAAAAATGTTTTTTTTGGTGCAATTTGCTCCCGTGCTGATTATTTCTTCAATATCTGAGTAGGAAACAACCAACGGTACAAAATGAATGTGATAAAACAGAGAAACATTATTGGTGAATGCCATTTTATTTGCCAACAGGCCTGACGTCATGTTGTTCAGCCGATATATCTGTATATTATCCGTGTAAGTGTAGACAAAGTTTATTTACTTTCAACTGGTAGAATATTTATTTGTTTTAATAAGAACCTTTTGTGAGTTCACAGAGCGTGCAGTACCTGTGTAGGAGATCCTGATGGCCCGGACAGGAACTCCCGCCAGCTGGATGGACTTGCAGTGGAGGAATTTGAATCCAGCATCACTCAAATCCTCATCCGTCAGTTTCTGAAGAACCTTGCGGGAGTTTGGTCCCGCGATGCCCAGCACGCCTATATCATCTGTTACGTTGCTGATGTCGACGTCGTATCCACCGTCTGCAGCTTCTGTCTCGATCCACCTGAGATCAAAACCACAGAGAGTGCAGGGAAGAAGAAGACTTTTAATTTCTTTATCACACACTGCCACATCTCAGCCACGTGTTCTGGGTTTAACAGGCCTGCTGTGACCTCCATGAACTCTTCACGTGCAGTTTGGATCCCTTGCCACTAGAGAGCGCTACATGACATCATCCTCACCTCCCTCAGGTAGAGAGTTTTATTATAGTCAGGGGAATGGAGATGGATGTTTTAACATACTGGTCCCGATTGGAGCAGATGGAGGGGCGTCGTGTTAACAGCTGCTGGAAGGTTTTAGGTTTCTGCCGCATAAAAAAGACTGTTAGAGATTTTTATTCAGCACAGCTTGAGACTTGACTCTGGACAGGGTGTGAGTGACGGAGAGCTTCTCTGTGCACATTGTGTACTCTGCAAAATGAATATTGAAATGTTTGTCTACTTCTGTATGTGTGTGTGCGGTTTAGGGCTGCGCAATTAATCGAAAATGGTGAAGGTCTGATGCTCTGGGACACAAATCTTGCTCTCCAGATGTATGAAAATGTCACATCATCTTGATTTTCCTACTTATTTTAGTGGAAATATATAATATCTGTCAAAATAATTCCAATATGGTTCAATTATGTTTTCATATTGTGCAGTCATACTGCAGCTTTAAGCATGTGGTCCTGGTTAATTGAGACATTCAGCATCAAAACCGACAAACTACCCATAATTTTGTTCACAAATTCTGTCTGAAAATGACATTTTGATGCACTGAAAGTAAATTCCATTAATTCTTGAGTCGTATTTTGGCCACCCCTGCTACAGGAAGTGAAATTTTAAGACAGCTGGATCACTTCTGTAGCTTGGAGGGACATGAAATACTTCCAGTTGAACCATCAGTACAAAAGATGAACAACTGTGTTAGAAAATATCATCATAAAATCATCTATCCTGAGGTGCATTCACATTTTGGCAAGAAACGCACAATCATACAATTTAAAATTAAGTTACAGTCCAATATTCACTCTCTTTTAGCTCAGGTCTTGGTCTCCATCAACTCCTTAGGGGAACATCTGTCTCTTTTAGCTGCTAAATGCTCCACTGTGTTCACCAGCTAGTCTTTAACTGTCTGTTTGCTGTTTGGAAGAGCAGGTAGCAGGTTTTCAAAAGCTTTTTCCACTGAAAACAGCAGCCTCTTACGCCTGAAAACGACACTATGAGAGCGGTGACAGTGAACCAAAATGGCTCGTAAAGCTGCGTAAGGAGGAAGGTATCTGCAGATTCAGGTGATAATTCTCTGTAGGTTCATCACTACGAGTGCAGCAGCCCATTACGATCATTTACCTTCATGTTGCACTTGCTCTAGTGAGTTTTAGTTTAAGTTAGCTACTGCCTGTCTGATTAACTTGAGTGAGATTGAGCATGTGTGCAAACAGTTCTTCACCTGAGGTCGTGACCCTCCGATCCCGAGCCTGTGATGAGCAAGAACTCTCCTGGTGCCAGCTGGGTGATGGTGACCTCAGCAAAGACTCTCCCAGCGGGCGTCAACATGTGGCTGATATTAGTCAGACCCACCTGAAAACACACAGGTCGAAACCACGAGTTTAAGACAAACATTCAAGGTACTGCACTACTTTTAAAACTCATACTAACAGTACTGTAATGCATGAGTCCACACTGGATTTCTATGATGGACTATTAACTTTTCACACCACATTTGCAGCTACAGCAGACAGAACAACTCCCACTGATGTTAATGAAGTGTACATGTGTTCTACCTTGGGCATGGTGTTAGCAAACAGGCGGTCCAGCAGCCTGTGGGAGTCCTTCCCCTTCACTATGAACTTGCCAAAAGGCGTCAGGTCGATCACTCCCACCTTCTCCATCACCAGCTTGCACTCTCGGCCAACTGGTCCGAACCAGTTGGTGCGTCGGAAACTGGGCCTGAGCACAGCACAGAATCAATGATCGCTTTATACCTACCTCTGCTGGTTTAATGAATACCAACTTTTCTTCCACAACTGTTTACTGGCCCCCTTTTTTATTGGCTTTGTTACATAATACAAAACATTGTAGAACATTGTTCTAACAGAAGGACAGAATTATAACCAATTACTTGTTGTGACTAATTGCATCCATGCTAACAGCTCTGTAAGGCCGTACTTAGGCATTAGCTAAATGCTAATGTCAGCTATTCACAATGACAATGCTAACATACAGATGTTAAGCAGGTGTAACGTTTACCTCGTTCACTAGCTTGATAATTAGCTCTAAACACGAAGTACAGCTGAGACTAACATGAGTTAGTCATTAGTTTTGCAAATATTTGGTCATAAAGTATTAAAAATGTTGACGTAATGATAGGTAGATACACAGTTAAAAGGGTCACCAAAGTTTTTACAATTCAAAGAGGAATACGAACGTCTGTACCAAATTTCATAGCAATCCATCTAATGAGCTAGTTTTTGACATTTCACTCAAAACCAGAAATGTCAGCCTCATGGTGGCGCTAGATGAAAGGTCAGACGATCACTAAAGTCAGTAGGATTCATCCTCTGGTCACCTTGAACGTCTGTACAAACTTCCACTTCCCTCGCCTCAAAGTCTCAAATGTGTTTTTTGATTAGAAGCCTAAAATAAGGTCTGTGTTTAAAACAAGCTTAAGAGATTTTAAGCTTTTGTTCTACGACATAAAATACATCAGTAAACAAACCACCTGTGAATTTTGAAGCTTCTATGTGTCTTAAAACAGGCGATTGCTAACAAGTAGCTGAGACTACAGAGGTTGTCGGTGAAACGTCATTACGATGAACAAGGAGACTTCTCTACACACTAGTCTGCCTTTACAGCCTTGTTGTGTTTCCTTTAACTTTAACGTTACAACTTGTAGATTTTAATTACAAGTTTGAAGTTTAGTAGTGGTGATGTTGACGTTATAAGACCATGGTGTAGTTTGTTTACAGCCTGACGTAATCTTTTTACTTATGGCGTTCTTTTTCAAAAAGGATAAAAGTGGTGTTAAACATGTGAGTATCATAAACCTTTGTTGTTATTTTTCTGCAGTAATCCACAATCCAGTGGAGAAATTCTGGGATGGACTACAAAAATACATCATCTTTGCAGCACTCTATAATGTGGCTAAAAGTACAATATGGCAAAAAGTTGGAAAGAGAAAGCTGCACAGCAAGATTATGACTGCGGCTTTTATATTTGTAGCAGAAGAAACCTCCATGTCACAAGCTACGAGCCAAGTATGCAGCTACTGAGAAGGCCAACTGGATTCAACACTCGCGGCGTTTGGCGAGGCTCCAAACACTCGCCGGATTATCTCAAGAAATCTATGACAGTGTGGTTTTTAAATAATGTCATGGTGCATATTTCAGTTGAGCCAGATCCTGCACATGGTGAAACTGTGTCCAGTGCAGTTATTGACAGTTATCTGCATGTGTTGTTGAGCGTTAGCAGCTGTCCTGTTTCTTTCAGTGTGGTATCTCTAAACGTTCTCTCTTGTGCTGCTGCTTACAGTTAGACGAACTGTTAAGTGATGTGTGGCGAGCTCGTCTCTGCGCTAAATGAAAGGATTGGCAGGGACTTTTCTGTCAGGGATCACATGTGTTTGTGCTCTACTGCATACCTCCCATATTCACTGAAGAATATTGTGTCCCCAAATATTTATTCTGACAAAACATGCATCTCCACCAGACACTATCAGAGCGTCTTTCTTTATACATTGGTATGCAGTACATGAATACTTTAAAATAGGAAAGTGGATGTGGTGAGGCTAATTAGATGACTGCGACAACAGTTAGCAATTAAATTAAAAAGCAGTTACGAAACAAAAGCCTAAACAACAGTGAGGAAACATATGTTTACGTCTAGAAGATGACTACTATTGTTCAGGTCTGAGATGGTTATGTTCTGGCTTCTCGCCATTTAAACAACATTACAAGAGATTTATGAAGAATGTATGTTAATGTAATCAAAGTCGCCCTGTAATAGTCGACCTAACCGACAGTCGATGTAAAGAGTCTTAGTCGACACACTTTTCATCAGTCGAATAGTCGCAGAAAAACAAAAACAACTCAGTTCAAGAGCTGCACTTTGTTAGCGGGACAAAAGTATCAGGATTGTTGCATCACAGACCTTTTCTCTTAACACAGAGAAGTCCGGTTAGCGGTTGCATAAATGGCTAACTGTACTAGCCGATGGCCTCCTAGGTAAGTTTTAGGCGGTCCTACTAGCTACTCGGACCCTGAGAGCTCGAAGGAGGGGGGGGGGTTTTAAACACTACAATCCGTAGGAAGTGGGAGATCCAGCAGGGGGCTCACAGCCTCCAAGACCAACAGAGGCCGGCTGATTTACAGCGGCTGCGACCAGGACTACGACTCTGGGGATCATTAAGTCCACGAGTATTTGTTTTTGTGAAGTTGGGAGTTTTTTTTATCGTGTTTTGAAAAACGAGACTTACACTGTGTCGAAATAAATGAACTAAATGTTCAGTCCTTGTGTTTGATCTGACTGATTCCAAAATCATTGCCCACGCGTTCCCATTAGCATTTTAAGAGGCCAATTGTTTAAATACGGCTAGGAATATCTTAAATCGGGGACAGTCCTAAATGTAATACATCAGACTAGCTCTGCTAACTGGATGTCTTACTTGTATCCAACGTCATCTCCAGATTTGTAGAACCAGTGAGGTTGTTCCCAGCCAGCGTGAAAGCCCATGGATGCTTTGTCCTTCAGCAGCTCATAAACGCCACTTGTCCGGGAGGTCGGTCGACCGGCGAAACGCTCCTCCTTGGGGTAACCAACTGGAGAGGCCGGCAGAGTGCGAAAAAGACACCAAAGAGGTTAGAGACGGTAAAAAATAAATGGTTTTGCCCAATGAATGTGCAATCGTCTTGTGTTCTTCTTACCCACATTGTTGAAGCCGTAGGATTCTCGAGCTTTGGCACACATGAAGGGCACGTCTGCCCATTTGCCGTAGCGGTTGGGGTCGCATTCAATCAGGTCGTACGGAGGTTCTCCATTCCTGATCCAGTCACTCAGGAACTTACCGATACCACCAGCATGGATGACTCCATACCTGGAAACAAAACCAGGCTTTAAATGTCACAAATCAGCCCTCTTGCCCTCTGATCAAATGTAGAAAATACACACATACCCAAAGCCGATGGCAGTCCAGTAGTTACGAGCTCCTTGGTGTGGTCCGACCATTGGCAGGAGGTCAGGGGTGTATGTGATTGGTCCAGACACAATATTGATGATGTCAGCTTTCTTTAGCACGGGGACCATGTCCATGGCCATCTCAACATGCTCCATGATCCTGTCAAGATCCGACTCAAACAGCTCTTTGCCGAAACCTGCAGCAGCCACACAAAGATGGACAGAAACATAATGTGTATCCTACAAGAAGAGTGAAACCAGACAAAGATATATTAATTAAACCAAATAGATGTTATGGCAGACAGACCTGGTGGCACGCCCTCTCTGACCCAGGAGTCCTGTAGCTTCATCTTCTCCATCTGTTCATAGGGGCCAAACAGAAGGCCGTCTCTTTCCTGACGGAGGTAGTAAGAGCCCTCCAGGTCCCTGATGACAGCCAGCTCCTTCTTCAGAGCCTTCACCTCCGGTACCGTCGCCGTCACTACGTACTGGTGATGCACCGGGATGGTGGGGTGATCGAACCCAATCATCTTGCCAACCTCCCGAGCCCAGAAACCTTAAAAACCAACAGAGATGGTATTTAAAAATCAGCTAACAAAATAAAGTCGACAATCTTAAAGTGTTTTCCTAACAAATTAGCTCTGGTTCTTGAAGTGGAAATGCTCCCAAGGGTTGAAAACTAGGTGTACGCTACTAGTAATGTAACTACATCTTTTTATTTAATGTACCAAATAATAATCAGCATCCTTTAAGGAAGTACTGGCGGCTATAGAGGTTAGCATAGGTGCTGCTAGCATCAAAAAAAAGAACGACACCAAAAGGTTTTTCTCAAAGGAAAAGATTTGATTATTTGTTTCCAAACAGTTTTCAACAATCACTTCCCAGATGGTTCTGTGTAACAACCCATCCCGCGCAGTCATGTAAGATGCTCATACAATCATGACTGTTCCTATACCATAAGGCTGTCCTGCTTCTACTGTACCAGTCTTTTGGTACAGTATGTTCTCCATGTTTTATTGGCCTATAATAAAGGGTTTATGTCCCCTGGTGGACGCACAAAGTTTGATGAATGGATCTGTTTGTAAGTAAAAAGCTACGCCCCCCATGCGACGCCCCTCTTTCACCATTCGGTAGGAAAGTTTCCTTCTACACAGCATGCACTTAATGTGGGCAATCTAATGATTAATGGAGGGGACTGCTGTACCACCTGAGCCACAGCTGCTACCTATCAGACTTTCCATCGGGTTTTCCAACTGGTTTTTAATTACTTTCATTGTCTTTTGAGACAAAGAGTTAACAGACAAACACACAGGACATTTGAATAAATGAACAATTACATTGCATTGGGTTGAGAGCAGAAATTCCAGAGACTGAACTGGGTGAACTAACCCTTTAATAAAGGCTTAAATATACAGGACGGGGCACCATACTGTGATTTTAAGGTTGAGATTTAAATGCAAACATTCAGAAATAAGCACAAACATAAGCAACAACAAAAATACACCCAGCGCTCAGATGCACAAACATAAATGTAGATCTGTGTGAACGAGAAAATACCAAAGCACCAATTTACTGTCAACCACACACAAACTATTTGAAGAGGAGAACATTTTGTAATAACCCCAGAAATCTCGTTTTAATTTATAAAATATAATAAAAAAGGTTTTTACCCCAAAAGACACCTGGGGATGTTATTTTGTTTCATTGCAGCAGTTAGCCTCAGGGTTTTTATAGTCTATATTATGTAACAACAGCAAAATTTCACTGTGTGGCTCCTTGGAGTTTCCCTCTCATATTGCTGCAGCATGCAAGCTCAGGGAAATACATCAAAGATCTAAAGGCCGGAGACTGAAATGTAAGTCAGATGACTGAAATATGGATCTGCAGCCCTGAGACGGCATTCATTCACAGCATGAAGTGTTGGCCCAATATGAGATCCTTCATTTCCCCCCCACTACAGCTGAGTTGGTAAAGAATACATATTTGGATCACTTCTACAACAAAAGCATCAAACTTTAATATATTTTTCAGTCCCTTGAGGACTGCAGAAGCTAAACACAACACTGATATTACCTTTAAAGTTGATATAGATGGAACATGTTAGCACATACAGAGCGATATTAGCAGTCAAAATGTGACGTGGTGAACGTAAGGTCAGTACTGACTCTTCTTTTGGGTCTGTTTTGGTCTCTGTCAACTCTTTATCAGCTAAATACTCCACTCAGCTATGTCTGCACAATAACTGTCTGGTGCTGGGCGGGTAATGTAATACAGTGGCAGTTTACTAAAAACAGTGAGCTTCTGTGGATGAAAACAACGCTAATGACAGCAGTGAGAAGCCACTTAACAAATATTCTGCCTGTAAGTGGGACACTTAACAAAGATCAATGTGGACCTTGTACCAACTCAGCTGCTGTGACCTGGAGTGGGACGCCAGCTGGAGCACTGAGACCTGTTGATCTCTGCTGCTATCATCAGCTACGTGTTGCAAGAGTTAAAGTCAAGTTAAATCTAAATAAATCCCCCGACTTGACATTCATTATATTTAATGGAGTGGCATAAATCTGTTCAATTGCATGCAAGTCTGCAGCCAACATTTATATTCCATATGTTCTTTGTGTGAATGTTATCTCAGAGGGATGGGGTGGGGGGTGCATACCAAACGATAAGGTCCCAGGCAGTTTAGGCAGGAACTGGGTTGCAGAGGAACATGTTTACCAGATGCCCGCACACAGGGCTGATTCACTGGGTTACCCAGGAATAGCGATGAATGGAGTCAACAAGCTCACAGAAGTAAAACAACCTCTGAAACAACTCCTGCTATGATATCAGCCATCCACGCTGTTAAACTCTTATTTGTTTCTCTATTTATGAATATAAAACGTTTGATAATCAGGCCAAAATTTGTTTAAAAGGTCACAGACTAAAGATTCCCAAACAGCAGTACTTCCCTGGGGTAAAACAGAAATTAAGATTTGCTTTTAAACAACATATTAAGTAAGCTGTAACTCTAAACCTTGGATCTAGCAGCAGTTAGCAACCAGAAGCTAAGTTGAAAGTAATGCATAAACTTTAAATAATTAGCTAAACGGATAAATAGTTCAAATAGTTAGTGAAACGTAACAGATAAACCTTAAAATAACTAATACATGGTTGAAATAGCTAAAGTTATGATTGAACAGTTCAAATAAATAGCTTAAAGTAATAGATAAATGGTTGAAACATACAAGTTAGCTATTCCAAGTGGTAGCACGAATGCAGACTTGACCAAACTGACCTACATTGCATGAAAATATTACTATTATTATTAAATATTATGACCTTTTATATAATTAACAGTGTTGAACAACATCCAGTAGGAACCTAAACTGATCCTATAGGGTGACATTCCAGGGAACATGACCTCTGACCTTCATTTAGGCTCTCATGGGTCAGGGCTGTTTATCGAGAAGAGGGGGTACAGCCATAGCTTGAGTTTAAACAGTGAACAGAAATTGTCAAGTTGACAAAAGAAGGGGTTAAGGTTGTGGACGAGGCTCTGTGTAGGCGGCAGCAGAGCCTGTGAGAGATAAAGTATGTAAAGAAAAAAAGACCTAGAACGAGAAGAGAGAAAGTTTAACTAAAAATGTTTGGGAAGTTATGCAAGCTCAACAAAACAGCCACTTAGGGTAATGGGTTTTAAACAATAATTTGAGTACAATGCATTAAAAAAAGACTGAGGTTGTTTTTGTTTTCTGGGAGTTGTTTTCTTCCTTTCTCTGTGGGATGAGACTTTAAACCAGCTGCTTTCCTGCGGGAGTTATTTCTGCAGCCCACGACAAAGCAGAATCTGTTGTTAATCTTTAAAATCACTAAGAACAAACTCCAACATACAAGAAAGGGGACCATGCCTCTGAGCAAATATGTGGTTGTATCTGCAAAAAGCCTGCATGTACCCATAATGGTACATCTGACTGTGGGATAATAATTCTTGCAATTGGACACACAGGTGTGATATATATCAGTTTAACATTTCAGTCCCTGGATACAAAAAGCAGCAAAAAAAATGCTACAAAAAATAAAAAAGAAGAGAAAAATGTCTGTCAGGAGGTGTGCATGTGCTGCTGCTTCAAGACTGGATGGGATCTGAACTGTTGGCCTGTTTGGATTGGCTGTCGGACACAGAGAAGGCAAACGGCCAACAAGGCACACAATGTAACTGGTTTCAACTAGAGTACAGAATGTGCAAATTCAGAGAGGAAAAAAGATTGTGAATGAGCTGGAGAAAGTTTGTTCTGCGAGGTCTTAACAATGCTTATTTCAGCGACTGTCAGAGCAGCATTTTGCTTCCACGTCACTGCGGAGAAAAGGTGACTAAGGAAGAATATGCATGACCTATATGTATATATATATATATATATATATATATATAATATATATTGATATATGTTCCAGTATATAACTAGTGATTATATGATAGTTGTTATATTTTATTTTATTTATATAATAATTGTATTTTATACTTCTAGGTATAATACTGATAATATTATTG